TTACTCCCACATATTGAAATTTTTTAACGTTTTATGCGATGTGCAGCCAGTGTGTTAGCTTATGTCCCGCCGGTTCATATGTACACATCTAACCTCCGAACCACGCAGCAGATTCGTTCTGAATTAATCTCTTCCCAAATCGTCCCTCCCTAACATTTTCGTCTCGTTTTTATTCGTTGACGAAAATGTCAATAGATTTACGTCATAGTTTTTGTCATTCAAAAATAGTTTTAGTTCGTTATCATCTCGTTGTCGTCGGTGAAAAAAATGTAGTTGACGAAAAATATTAAAAGAATTTTCACGTTCACCCATAAAATAAAATAACAAAAAGACAAAAAACTGAATTGACCCTTCACGAAAAGCCATGGCGCTCTCATGCCACACATCATGTTCTCATGCAGTGAAAAATACATTGTGGAGCAAAGTGAAAACTGACAAGGCACCGACAGACAAGACAGAGCAGGTTACTTTAGATGTGAAACAAATTCAAAGCTTTAAAATTGTCATCTTGTAAGAAATTCAAACAATAAATACCATTTTGTGGCTCTTTAATGTGTAGTGACAGATCACTGTAGTGCCTAGGGATGGGTATCGTTAAGGTTTTAACGGTATTACTACTCTTACCAATACTGCTTATCGATTCGGTACTTTAACTGTATTCTTATCGGTACTTTTTGTTTTATTATGATATATCGGCCACCATATTGGTATCGGCCGATAAATGCTAATTTTTTCTGTTATCGGTATCGGCCTGATAAGAAAATTTGGCCGATATCTTAAAGCCGATAAATAAGTCTCTTGTGCGGATTGTGCTTTCAACGTTTTATCATCAAACATGTCCCACAATTTAACAACAGTAAAGACGGCATCTTACAACAATCGCCGATTAAGCCGATTCTGACGTTAAGTTTGGGTTTTAGGGAGGAACGAATGCACACCACTGTTAAGGGAAAGAAGTTGCGCAAGACGAAACACAGCTAGTTTTTAATAGCTTTACCTCATGTCTTCTTTTGTATAATCCTTAGAAGCCAAAATCGAAATAAAATAATAAAATTAGCTTAATAAAACAGCCACAGGCCTAAAGTGTAAGCAGATGTTTGAATGTTTAGTTCTCTCTTCTATCATAATTAAACAGGGCTTTCCTCCTCCGCGTGAGCGATCTCGCTTCTGAATTGCGAACAGCAAAAATGCATCATAGACAAATGTTTGAAAAACAGCTGGTGACTCTGGTGAGATAGAATTTGCAAGATAATGTATATATAGCAATAATAAATGTATGTGTGTTTTATAAATTTTTCCAGTACCGATAGCAGAACCGTTAATGTCAGAGCTTATCGATACTCCGGTCTTTCATAATTTAGCCCTGGGACCGATTAAATACCGGGTTTCGGTACCCATCCCTAGTAGTGCCTCAGTCCAAGCGGCATGTGAACTGATCATCTTTTCATATTTACTTAAAGCATGAAATAAACATGAATGAACATCAGAAGGTATTTTATTTCAACTGCAGAAAGATGTCAATACACACCTTTTTTAAGCTTAAGTCCAATGAAGTTAATCTACTCTCTTGTCTGATTTGTTTGTCGGACAAAAAGGTGGATTTGGTGTTATAATTGGTCAGATCGCCTGTCAATCAAGCTCCCTGCGAAGGGTCAAATACTTACTAAACTTCTCTGTGGAACTTTACTATTTTACAAATGTGTTGCCATGACAACACACAAACCCTAAACTGAGGGACTGGTTGCATAAACTGCTTAGACTAGTCTTAAAGGGGTCATATGATGTTGCTAAAAAGAACATTATTTTGTGTATTTGGTGTAATGAAATGTGTTTATGCAGTTTAAGGTTCAAAAACCACATTATTTTGCACATACTGTACATTATTGTTTCTCCTCTATGGCCCACCTCTCTGAAACACGTCGATTTTTACAAAGCTCATCGGGTCTGAAAAGCAAGGTGTGCTCTGATTGGCCAGCTATCCAGTGCGTTGTGATTGGCCGAATACCTCAAGCGTGTGACGGAAATGTTACGCCCCTTACCATATTGTGATGCCTTGTCCCAGCACGACGAGACAAAAACATTAAATGCCATTATAAACGAGGCATTTGTTGCATCCAGTGGGGACATAATTACGGATTATACTGTCTTTTTACACGTTGCATTGCATCGCGCCGCATAAACATAAAACCATGTCTGCATTTGTGATCAGAGAAATTACAAACTACAAACGCTACTCTACACTGCTCAACTTGCATTTGAATCGTCAGTGGCAAATTCTTTAAATATAAAAATGTACTTGCAGTCTGTGATTCAGAACAGCCGGCATTGTAGTTTACTCTACCAGGATCAGGAAACAGTCCTCCATAAAATGTGCTGGACACATCGGAAAATTTGGGTTGAACTGTTCAGGAACAGTGTTGTAAATACAACTTAACCACTGATTTCTAGTCGTGTGCTCTTTTGGAAGGCCAAACAAAGTAGTTTCGCTTTCACAACGAAACACAGCGTCACACACGGCGGGCTAGAGTTAGCGGCGGCCGGTGGCCTAGAGTGAGCAGAGGCCGGCGGCTAGAGTGAGCGGAGGCGGGCGGGCTTGCGGCAACATGTGACGACCCCGTGCTGGACTCCGCTCCGTCCACGGTGAAAGCCAATCTGGCGATCCACAGCGTGAAGCTGATGCATTTCCTCAGCGACCAGCACAGATCAGCTCCAGCCATGACGAAGCGGATATCGTCCACTTTTGGAAGGCCAAACAAAGTAGTTTCGCTTTCACTTCGAAACACACAGTGCCTTCACGACATGGCGGCGGCGGCAACAACAATACTACAGAGAGAATAAAAGTTACGTCTTCTTTCTTTGCATGAACATTTGGGCGGCATTATGCAAATCTTCCCACATTGTGACGTAGACATGTGGGGGCGTGTTAGAACGAGCCATTTTAGGTAGACGTGGTTCACTCTTAACTTTTATAAAGAATATCTATTTGGATTTGAGACTTTAGTCTGCAACTTTTCAAATCTTCTTTATGCACCAAGAGCTTGTAACACTCCAAACAGAAAGGAAAAATTTAAATCACATCATATGACGCCTTTAAAAAGTTAGTCATCTAATTTGCTTTCTTAAAGACGGGTCATGATTTCTTTAAGTCTGTTACAAAAAGATAGATTGGCCCAATTTGAGTCAGAAAAGTAAGACGGATTACCTCTTGGCTAACTGCTAGTTGGTCAAACCATTTCAAACTATAACAGTAGATATGTTTATGCAACTGACCCCTGATTGTAAAAATAATAATAAAATAAATATAATAATAATAAATATATACAGCTTTACAGCTCAAATAATGCACAATAAAGAAAGAAAGAAAGAAAGTAAGTGTCAAAAATACTGTTAACTCATAACTTGAGTTTAAGTCATACTGAACCTGGAATATTTCTCTACAGATTAAATAGATGTTTTTTTTAAAAATCTTTTTAGACTTATATCCCATCTTAATATGCAGAGACTATAAGCAAACCATCTGTTGGTTTATTTCCCCAAAAAGTGTAAGAATTGAAGCTCTATGATACTATAAAAACATTAAACCTGACCATTCTGACAAATCAACACTGACTCAACCAATGATGTGAGTTTGGGGGTGGGACTATCTGTTTGTTTGACCAATGGCAAAAAAGGGCATGTTCAGGGAAACCTATTTGAAACCTATTTTTTCCCAATTCAGGCTGGTGACGCTAATGGTGCAGAAATTACACACTTAACCTTTTAAAAGTATATAAAGTCACAGCAATAAACTTCTTTACAGTCCACAGCACGGTTTATCCCTCCATTTGGTCTATTTCTTCTTAAAACAGAGATCAAGAGACTTGTGTTTGTACCTTTCATCTTCGTTTGTTCCTTTACTGTCAATAATGAGGTCTTAAACCACTCGGTCTGCGGTGAAAACAAAACAAAGGGCCAGAGTTTCCTTTCTTTTGTCTTTTTATGCTCGCATTTTCCGACTGCATTCGGTGACCGTGTTTTTCCCCCCTCTCTTCTCTTCCCTCTTATTGTTGCTGTAAATCCGAAGGGCCTTTTTGCAGTTTTACTGGAACAGAGAGTCATTAAATGGTTGATTTCAGATGGCAGAGTGTGAATGTTTTAAATTAACTTTATTGATCTGCTAGTCCGCCAGTCAGCCAAGGAAAAATTGACACCCGCTTGGCGCATGGGCAGTAGATTTGCACCTCAGCCGTTTAAAACGCCTGCTTAGCGAGGCTGGCCATGCTCCATGCTCCATGCTCCATGCTCCATGCTCCATGCTCCATGCTCCATGCACTCGCGCTCGGTGTGGTTTGGTTTGGTGAATACAACCACACAGAACCAAGGATATTTGAAGACCTGAGAGACCGTTGGTCAAGTAGGGTTTTGAATTTTATCAACTGCGATTCCAATTCCAATTCTGCTTATTGATTCCCATTATTTTCGATTCCAATGTGATTAAATAATGATATCAAACATGTATCCTGTGTCTATTTTTTGCAAACCATTTATTGGAGCTGAATACCATGAACAAAAATCAACAGGCTACATAAAAGCTGGACTCTTTAAGAGCTGTTTGTGTGCAAAATAGAACTGCATGATAAATTGAGTTTTTTTTTTTTCCCAATGGAAGTTGTGGTTCTCTAATGATTCTGAAGAAAAAACATTAAACAACTAAACAAAATCACATATAATTTATAAATGAATGATTCAATGACTCACTCAAGATGTACTTGTTTCATTACTGGATGGATCAGCGTTCTTGAACGAATCTCTTGTATGATTCAAAGACAAAATACATTTTAACAGCCCCTTTTCGCCACCTACTGGCCTAACAATGTAATCGATAAATCTTCATTTGAAGTGTCAAATTACTTTCAAAATTTGAGTTATTTCAATTCTAGTGATTTCAATTCAATTCTATTACTTGCAAAATAGAGTGATTTACTCTATTTTAAATGCTACCATACACATCGTACACACAGTTTATATCTGAACTATAAACTTTTATCCCAGTTAGGGCTGCACGATAAATCGCATGCGATATTTAACGTGCATCTTGTCAGAAAAGCCAGTAAGTGATGGAGATTTACCGCTGATTACAGAACCGGCTTTCTGACAAGATGCGCGTCAAA